CACTCATCCCATCACCCCCAAAATATATGATTGGGTCCGATTCTTGTTTTGTTGACAGTTCAGACGAGACGGGGGGTGATTGAGAAGTGGTGGCTGGGTAAATCCAAGCATTGCTAGAAGGCTGCTCTGCATGGCCGCTAGCGTATTGCGAGCCGAAACAGTACTCGTCTTCAAGCTGCGAAATCGGCGTCAAAGGTGAAAGAATATAGTCCATAGGAGGATACGATGTCTCGAAGTCTTATTTTGCCTGTTAGTAAGAGCCTTACAATGATGCCAGAGAACAGCGGCTTATGGGAAACTTGACTCACCTCTTGAATCTTCGTGCTTGACCTCGATATCAGTTGGCGTTGGAGAATATGGGTAGCTTGAACTATCGTGCGCGGCCTCAATGGAGACTTCTTCTTTTTTGGGTTGCTTGGAAGCTTTATTATCTAATTTGTTCTTCTTGCAACTATGTTTGTCAGTGATACCGTTTGTAGACTCTGAAAGTTGACTCACGGTGATCGACGAGGTCCTATCACTACACACTCGCACGAGCTCCATTGACAGTTGCTGCAAGGTGAATTTTGCATAACATCGCATCGGACCTTTCGAGATCTGCACGTTAGGCAAGCTCTGCGAGCCCTGCGCTTTCGGCGGCTATTTGTATTCCGGGCGTACTGCTGCACTTCTGTTGCTGCTGGGATATCTGACATGGTGACAATGAACAGTTCATAAAGGCTTAAAAAGGTTAAAATAGTAACTCGTCACATGTATGAAACTCACTGCGATATCTCACATATAAAGAAAGTCAAAGTTTGGCTGATCTGCAAGAGGTGGCGGGTATCGGACCGCAACACGGCATTGCACAACCGTGTATAGCCGCGCCGCCCGCATCCCCGCAAACCGCACCTCAAGCCGTCCCTTAACCCATCCTGCATCTCCCTTGTCGAATCAGCAAACCCTCCAGCCCCTAATACTCGTCATAATGTCGGACTCCCACGACGACTCTGATGGGCCTGAGAGCCGTCGCAAGAGAATTCGCCAAGCCTGCCTCAATTGCAGGAAGAAGAAGGTTCGCTGCACGGGTGAGAAACCAATATGCCAGTTTTGTAATCGGCTTGGCCAGCCTTGTGTTTATGCGGAGGATGGGAGGAGTCTTAGAAGGACGAACTTGGCTGTTCAGCCTGCTTTGGGGGATGTGCCTGAGGCTATCATGGTATGTGGTCCACTGTTGTTGGGTTGGTGATGCTGACCTTGGGTAGGATAACATCACGTCAAGGTTTGCTTCTTTAGAAGATCAGATATCAACACTACAAGCGACAGTCGAAAGGTCAGAGTCATTAACCTTTTATACGTATTGGTGAACCCATTCTGATCAAGACATAGACTGCTGCCGCTGGTCACAAATCAGCAGCCGCCAAACAAACGTACACACTACCAAGCCAACACCCCGGCCCCTGTTCTTCTTCAAACCCCTTCAACGATACAATCTCATGCCAATGAACGCCCCCAACCAAGCTCCCTTCTCTTCGCTGCTGATGTCTACTTCCGCTACTGCCACAGCCAACCTTACTCCCTATTTCACGAACCGACCTTTCGGGAGCGCTTGGCTGATGACACGCTGCCGACCTATCTTCTCTGGGGATTCTTGTCGGCGGCAAGACGATACTCATCTCTACCAGTGACCCAAGTCAACTGTTCCGACGATGCATCTAGCTACGCTGCCAAGGCTTGGGAGACCATAGAACTTCCTTGGACTGGTAATGCGCCGCCCGAAAAGATTTTGACAGTCATCCAAACAATTATATTGATAGTAAGCACTGAGGTTCCAGGTGAGTCAGATGATCATGAATGATATTGTTCATATTTTGGAAAAGTCACTAACAAATCGAATTGGCTAGCCGGTCTCTGTAGCCAAGCTCATATGAAGCAGGGTTTTGCTATCCGTCTTGCCCAGAATAATAAGTTTCACCTGGAACCCGATCCATCACTTCCACTAGCTGAGCGTGAGGAAAGAAAAAGAACTTTCTGGTCACTATATCTCCAAGACAAACTCATCAGCCTCTCTCGTGGACGATTCTCCGCCATCCGGGACGAAGAATGCAGAGTGTCTTTACCATGCTCTGAGGATGCATTCAAGGAAGGGCGCGAAGAAAAGACACCCTTTCTCGACGAACTGACGGGGGATTGTGTGGAGCAAGAAGCTATCGACGGATGCTGTGCACTTGGCCTGATCAATGTGATGGCATCTATCCTTGGCCGGGTCTCGCATTACGTTTTGCATGATACACAAACGTCACAGATGGGACTTCCTTGGTCTTCAACAGCGCCTTACGCCACTCTGTCATCGGCATTGCTCCAAGCAGAACACTACTTTGGAATGAATGAAGACCCGACAGAAAGTCTCAAGCAACGATGCACGGTCGATGGTGTCGTTGATCAACTACTCGCGAGCTCCTTCATCTTCGCCAAGGCTATGTTCCACTTGTCCCACTGTCTACTTCATCACCCATTCCTGATTCAACAACGGCTTCAGTCCGGTAAACAAAAGGCCCCGTCAGTGTTCATGAAGACGGCCTGGGAAAAGTGTAGGACTCATGCAAAGAGCATCACGGATCTATTGGATATGAAGAGCCAGAACGTGCCTATACTAACCTCTATTTATGGATATTGTATCATGGTTGCTGGCACAATTCATGCTCTGTCTTTGAATGATGAGAGAGACCATATCCGAAAGGAGAGTCAGAGACACTACCGTGCGGCTATGGAATCATTACAAGACCTGTCATGCTACTGGAACCACGCTGCTTTAATGGTAAGCCTATACTGCTTTTTGACTTACAAAATGAATTCTGACCCTTAGCCTCATAGGTCAAACGACTGGAAAGATTCCATAGCCAGTGCGAGACTCGCGGGCAAGAGCTTTCCCCCTCAAACGCCGAGCGAACTCCCGGAGACGTCAAAGCTCTTTGGCAAAGTGTCGACTACACGTCTTTGTCAACTCCAACGAGACCTGGGAGTCCGACACTGGCAGGTCAAACCTCAGTTGAAGCCGATTGGGCTTTATCAACGGATATGTTTGACTTTAGCGGCTTTGGTGGATTTGCAGAGGGAGTTGATGTCTTTAGTATCTCGTTTGTTGATGGCGATATGACTCTCGGCGACGAAATTCCGAATATGGTGCAAAATTGGGCAGCTCCAGAAAAGGCAGATTGACATCAACTTGGACGATCGGGTATGGAAAAAGGAAGCCGCGCTTTTCTATAAGTAGCTACCTTTTTATATCGCAACGTTCTAGCTAGGTCTCGAGGATGACATGCTAATCATGAATCACTACCAAACACAATACCGTTCTTTTTCCTCATATCCTCCATCACTGTGAGAACGCTTCGACTAAGTGCCCTCAAGTCAGCTTCAGCTCCCCGATCACCCTCCTTGATGATACGTCCAAGCTCCTTGGCCTCCCAAGTCAGGTTTAGCATGTCTGTATACTCAGGGCTGGTGTTTCCCAGCTCCTCAGACTCTTGTGATCCCCTTGGGATAAACTCCATAGTGCATATATCTGTGACGTTGGAAGCCTGACCACCAAGTATTTTGATGGTTCCTTTCTCACAGTAGATCTCGGTTGGTGCATGTGAGTCATAAATCTTGCTCGTGCGGGCCGATAGTGTAAAGCTCTGCTGGTGCTTGGAAGACTCAGGCGTGTATTGGAACACTATGAGACCACCACCATCAACACCTGTTTCAAGAATGACTGGGAAGTATGTCTGAGATGAAGGTTTGCCAAAGAGTCTGACTGCGAATGTGACAGGATAGCAACCCATATCCCATAAACATCCTCCACTGAACTTGGGAGACGCAACATTTGGAACGTTGCCTTCTGTGATGTCTCCAAATAATGGCGAATACACTGCCATCGAGAGGCTTGCCCCATAGATCTTGCCAAATTTTTCCGTCCTGGTCTTCTCGTCATCAAGTAGTCTCTGAAGTGTCTTGAAGTTGGGCTCTTGAATGTGGCGATAAGCTTCCAGAATGAAGAGACCTTTGGAGTCGGCGAGCTTGTATAGAGCCTCGAGCTCCTTCATGTTGGACGCGAAGGGCTTTTCCATGACAACATGTTTGCCAGCATTCAGCGCTTTGATGCCCTGCTCATAATGCAGCGAGTTGGGTGACGCAATGTAGACAACATCGATGTTGGAACCCTTGGACAGCATGGTGTCCAAATCATCGTAAGCTTCCACTGCAGAAACATCTTTGATTGAGGGCGTTTTGGAGATGAAATTATTTGCTGTATCAAGCTTCCGGGAGTAAACAGCAGAGAGGGTGAAGAGTTTGCTCTCATGGCATGATTGCACGAAAGAGTTGGTGATCCAGTTCGTCCCCACAACAGCGAGACCAAATGGAGCAGACATGGCGACTGTGTTGATGCTGGACCTTACTAGAAACGAAAAATATTATTTGCAGAAAAGCTGGACGTTTGAGAGCGAAGCCATGACTGTCTTATAGCTGTGAGTATGTGACATCATGGCGATGACGGTGAGAAGTCCGTAACCTGAAAATTGACATTGGTGAGACCATTCGGCGGCACAGCATTTGGAGTGTTGCCTCAATCTGGCAATTGTCGGCGAGTCTAAGGGAATAAGGGCGGAAGGGTGCATTAGTGGATTGCCTGAGGTGAATCTGTCGCCCATCTGCTCTTTGCTTCCCTGCAGAACACCAAAAGACACGAAATTATCACATCAACGTAAAGAAAGGTGATTCCGAATGACGCGTTTGCATAACAATTCGGAATCTGTCAAAATCATGTGGAAATTGCCGAGATGCAGCTGATTGGCTCGTGGATTGAAACCTCGATAATGCCGTGACCGGGGTCGTATAAGAGCCCGAGATACCGAGTTTATCACGTCACGGAAATACCGACACCTGGAGATTTCCAACTCTTACAATGCTTCAGCACATGCTCTGATAAAACTCACCCACCAGATTAGTTGAGAACTGAAGGATATCAGTTGATAATCATGAATGGTGGCTCGGATTTCCAGCAGCTTCAGGACTCGCCTTATCATTCCGATGCCTCCGCGCCAGCGCCCAAAACGCCTCGGGTCTTGGCGTGCAACCACTGTCAGCATCGCAAAGTGAAATGCAATCGCGTGTTTCCTTGCAACAACTGCATAAAGGTTAGTTGCAAAGGTTTGGAGGATCACATTGAAACTAATACGCCCAGGCCAATGTACCTTGCGTGCCATCAACGCCTGCTCCAGCGCGCAAGAGAAGAGCGCCAAATGCGTTACTGCAAGAGAGGATCAAGAACCTTGAAGCTCTTCTGGAGCAGTACACTTCCCAAGACTCGCCCAAGCAAAGTTCTGACACAAATGGATTGACTCCCCATGATCCGATGGAATTATCTGCCAGATCTTCGCCGGCTCAGTCTAACGGACACGGCGCTCAGACACCAACTGGTCCTGGCAAATTGGTAGTTCGGAATGGAGGGTACAAATTCCTGGATAGCTACATTTGGGGGAGAATACATGAGAACGTCCGGGATCCTGTCTAATATCCGATTTCACAGTCCTTGACTAACATTCAGTGCACAGATCTCAGAAATGCGTCATATTCTTGATGAGGACACGTCAGATGAGGAGAACTGCCATCCCACCGATTCACCCGCTCCCCACGAAGACGATGACCTTCTATTAGCCAGGACTTCCTCTCTGAGTATCAATGACCAAGCTCCTTTGCCTTTTCAGATCCTTCGCTTATGGCAGGTGTTTCTCGAGAGAGTCAACCCTGTAACCAAAATGATCCACACTCCAACTACAGAGCACCTGGTAATCGGCGCAATGACAAACCACTCTGATATATCGCACAAGAACCGAGCACTTTTATATGCCATCTATCTTGTTTCTGCCGTCACTTTGACAGGCGAGGAAGCAATGACGATGCTGGGCTTACACAAGGATGAAGCTCTGCAGATATTCACCCAAGGCCTAAAGATGGCCTTGAACAAGGTCAATTTTCTTAGGAACTATGATATGGTTGTTCTACAGGCTCTTGTGTTATACTTGGTAAGCCCACAGAAGCTGACTAGGATGTAGTCTAAAGCTAATCGCTTTCAGATCGCTTTAGAAGGCCGTAGTAATCATGATGCCGTATGGGTACTCAGCGGCGTAGTTATTCGCATTGCTCACAAGATGGGCGTCCACCGCGACGGAGAAACACTCGGCCTGACGCCTTTCGACACAGAGATGCGTCGTCGGGTGTGGTGGCGAATCGTCATACTGGACTGCATGTACGCCGCAACATCGGGAATGAACCCAACACTGTTACCGCTGGGTTGCGACACCAAGCTTCCACATAATATCAACGACACAGAATTCTCCCCAGAATCCAAGGTGATCCAGAACAAGCAGGGGACCACAGAAATGGCTTTTGCTCTGATTCTATATGAGATCGTTCACTTTGTCAAAGATCATCAGATGACCGATTTCGAACACCTTCTGCTAGGAGGTCAAGACGTGGAGCCTGGAACGCCCGAGTATGATCTCTATCACGAGTCGCTTGGAAAGTTGGAACATCTCGCTGATGAATTCGACAAGACGATGAGTGAAGTTGAGAAGCAGTACTGTGATCCGTCAGGAGGTCCGCTTCATGTCTTCGCACTGGCGTTGAGGCCTCACATTCTGAGAGAAGTCAGAACCATGGCGACACCGATGGATGAAACACCAGAATGGGGAACTGAAGTAATGAATTCTCACGATAACTTCTTTCGAATCTGGCTTGCGCACAATGAGAACGAAGTTGCGCTTCATGATCTTATAGCGAATGGTCCTTTTGCATACTCATCAAAGTCGCACTTTCACTTCGATTCACTCATCTTTCTCGCGGGTCAACTAGTCCATCGCTCACCGGTTGGTTCTTTTACAGAACGGACATGGAGCCTTTTCCATAGGTTTTACCGCGATCATGAGGAGCTTTGGAATCTATCCCAGCTTAAGAACTTTCAGCTCGCAAGATTGCTGCTCAAAGCTTGGGAACCAAGACAAAGGGCTCTCGAGCAGCTTGGGGCTCCCTTCGAGGTTCCTGAATGTGTGCAGAAGCTTCGTATTGCTGTCTCGCAGACTGGATTGTCATGGATGAGCCCTAGAGAGGTGCCCTTTCAACCCACGAATGGCGGTGGCCTAGGAGGTATAGATCAGATGCAGATGGGCACAAACGGGAGTGCCTCAACGGATATGTTTCAAAGCCCGACTATGGCTGGGGACTGGTCCATGGCTGGCAATCTTCCAACCATGGACAGTATGGATACGCAGACGCCAGTTCTTCCGATCTTTGGCTTCTTCAATAGTACGACATGGTAGGGTTTGTGTTTTTGGACAATGCGCTGCAAGAGTATGGGTATTTGGGAGTTGTGAGTCTTGCAAAAAATAATATGTATCTGTTATCTGATTACCAGAAACTCAAGTGCTCTCACTACTTCACCTGTCAATCAAGTTCACAAAATCTTGAGGAAGAGGCTTCTCCTCAACCCAGGCTCTGATACCTTCAGCAAACAATTCTGGAAACTGCAAGTTCCAGGCATGAATAGCCCCCTTGATAAGAACCGCGGTACTCTTCCTTCCATCCTCGCGCCCTTCATTACGAAACGCCAGAGCCATTTCCTTGGCACCATCAAAGTCATCACCTTGATCTCCAGCGGCGGCCAATATCCGCTTGTCCTTCTCAGCAACTGCTTTAACATCGTCGTGCTGCCACTTAGCAAGCCCGGCGTAAGCGTCATTGACCAAGTTCCAATCATTATTGGCAGCGATTTCGTTCTTTAGCTGGGTATGATCCTTGAGACCCTTCATCCAGACGCTGAGTGTATAAAAGCCGCTGTTGAGAACGAGTTTGAGACCGTAGTGTAGGAGGCTGGGTCTTTCTGCTGCCCAGACTTGCCATGGTCGGAACGGGGTTGAGCCAGTGAGGAAGGCTGATTTAACGAGGTCTGGATGTCGGCGGATTAATTCCATCGTGGTGAAACCGCCCAGTGAGAGGCCGACAACGCGCGCTTGTCCACCGTGGGCATGCTTTCGGATAAGATGCGCGACCGAGTCCGCGGCGAGTTTAATTGACCATGGTCCTATGTCTCTCGATTGGGAGTGTTTTGGGAGATCTGGGACGATTAGATGATAATCGCTGAGGTGGGGAATAACGTGCTCCCATTCGAGGTTGCAGCTGAAGAGGCCATGGAGTAGAAAGATTGTGGTTGACGACGTGTCATTGTACGACCTGAAGAAAAGGTCTTGCAGGGGTTTAGATGCTTGCGACATGATTACAGAGATGAACTCTGAACAACAGTATATCTGCAAAATATTATTCAGTCAGATCACGGTGATTGCTAGGACTTTAGTTGAGCTGCGCCACTGAAATGAGTCGGCTAAGATTTATCCGAACGCAGCATCCATCCCGCTTGCTCTGCCCTAGACAAGCTTGCCTGGGCATAACTAGCTCAAAACGACACCAGATGAGAATGAATCTGCAGGTACCAAAGATAATAAACTGTTGACTCTAATTATAACCGCGGGAGGACGAATGTTGGTCCATGATCTGAAACTACAGGGATTGGCCGATGGTGACCCAGTTGGACACTGTGGCCTCAGCACTGCCAGCAGCATGTCATATCTCGAAGGATTCATGGAGGGTCGCTTGCGCGTCTTCGCGTTTACCAGCATTCAGCTAATTAAAATCTTCCGATCCATCTTCGCACCGCCCAGAAAAATATTTCCATTCTCTGTTGGACTTGTTTTTTTTTTAGCAATGCAATTATTCACTGTGTCTTTTTGACGATGCAGCGTCGTACAAGTCGCAGTCAAGAACCAGGCTACGAGATGGCTGCAGGGCCTAAACCCACTGAAACAACGCTGCAAAACAAAGGATCGACGCCAATTCTCCACAATGCGGCGGCCTCCCCTGAAGCAGATCCGGAGGAAAACAACGACGATAAGAAATATCTTACAGGATGGAAGCTTCATTCTCTGAGCGCAGCGTAAGTAAATTACGAAAACTGATATTCAAGCGATTTCAAGCTTATCGTGCTAGGCTCTGGATCAGTCTCTTCTTATCAACGCTCGAGACCACCATCGTCAGCACATCCTTGGTCTCAATCACCAATGCCCTCAATGGCTTCATTCTTCGTGATTGGATCGTCACATCATATTTGTTGACATACACCGGTAAACTCATTGCCTCTTTCGCATGAAAAACATTTTACTGACGGCTGCAGGCTTCTTGACTATCTACGCCAAACTTAGCGATGTTTTCGGGAAGAAGACGATGCTTTTGCTTGCGCTATTCATTTTCACCTTGTTTTCTGGTCTTTGTGGTGCGGCAAACAATGTCGTCGACCTGTAGGCAATATGAACGTCCAGTCCGACGCCTTGCTGACAGCCTCCAGCATCATTCTTCGAGCGTTCCAAGGCATTGGTGCATCCGGTATCTACGCCATGATCCTAGCGATTGCTCCAAGTTTGGTACCAATCAGCAAATACGCAAAGTACATGGGCGTCATGTCGACAGTCTTCATCACCGCAAGCGTTCTAGGTCCTATACTTGGTGGTGTCATCAGCCAGCACTCAACCTGGCGCTGGGTCTTTCTTCTTAAGTAGGACTCTGTCTCTGTGCTCCATCGTGACTTGCTGACACAAGATCTTAGTCTTCCTGGGGGAGCCATCGCTTTTGTCATGGTATGCTTCTTTTTACCAGCTTCCGAAGAGTCATCCAATCTCTCACTTCTGAAAGTACTGCGATCAAAAGTCCGACGCTCGAACTGGGTTCGCATCGACGTGCTTGGGATAATTCTTCTCCTTGCAGCCTCTGTTCTTCTTGTGTTCGCTCTTGAGGAGGGAGGTACTCGATACTCGTGGAGCAATGCGATTGTGATAGCCACCCTGGTTCTGGCAGTTGTACTCTTCATCGCCTTTGGGGTCTGGGAAGTCTACGTTGAAAAGTCGCCAGGCAAGCAAGAGCCTGTGTTTCCACCGAGCATTTGCAAGGATAGGATCTCAAGCGCCATGCTACTGTACGTCATGCACCCTTTGACCCTTCCAAACGCAGTGGCTGATTGCATAGAACTACCTGTTTCATCGGCTTTCCTTTCGTCTCAATGGTCGTCAACATTCCGCAAAGAGCGCAAGCAGTTTACGGAATGTCACCATCCCGCGCTGGCATCATCCTACTTCCTATGATGCTGACTTCTCCTGCCGCAACTGTCCTCTCAGGTTACTTGACTGGAAACGCCAAGGTGCCGCCGGCATATCTGATCATCATCGCTGCGGTGCTACAAGTTTTAGGCGTTGGATTGACTTGCTCACTGTCTACAGATGCAAATCACATGCCAGATGCTCAGTACGGATATGAGGTGTTAATGGGAGTTGGGTTCGGTATGGGTCTGGCTACCGTCTTGACCTTTGCTAGGGTGGTGGTTTCTGAGGCAAACCTGCGTAGGTGACCTTTTGTCAGTTGGATTTGGATGTGCTAACTAACTGTATAAAGCTGTGATGATGGGCGCATTGACTCAGATTCGGGTTCTCGGTGGCACAGTCTCACTCGCAATCTGGTAATTTCCACGGGTCACGTCTCTTCCAAACATGAATTGCTGACAGGCTCGTAGCGCTACGCTTCTCAATAATCATCTGAAGCCGAAGCTCATTGATCTTGTCTCTTCGGAGCAGACAGCGGCTATCCTTGACTCCGTATCTGCGATAAATGATCTGGAACGGTCCCAGCAACTGGCTGTGCGGAAAGCATTTGCAGAGGGCTATAACCTGCAGAACATGTTCATGACGGCCATGTCCGCTGCTGGTTTGGTTGCTTCTTTATTCTTGTTGGAGAGACATCCACGTATAGCAAAATAGACCGCTAGAAGCTTCCATCTCCCACCGCATGATCTTTTTCAGGCATGGAATCTAGATGATATCTTAACTGAAGTACCCAAACCAAGATTGCCAGTCCGACCATTCATAGATAAGTTGACTGTGCGAAAGAATGACCCGCTAGTGGTCGTGTGGACTGTGATGCTCAAATGTGCGAATGAAACAGTGAGGAGGGTGTACCGTGCGCCTGTGCACCACCTCGCAACTCGGGCCTTGGCAGCTAAATGTACTTGAGTAATCAGCTTTATCTCAAAAATGCATATTCGCATATGTAAATGTCAGGCATCAACGAGGCAATGTTGGCTGACAGACATGCAGCTTGAATCTACCCGTCAGCATATATTTGACTGCCCTGCCCTAATTATCTCTTACGTCCTTATCCAATATTGACTGTTTTCACCAGAGCCACAAAATGACAATCAACGCTGCTAACGTCTTCGAATCCTGTATCTTTCTCATAAATATATTGGTAGCTGCTGAAGTGGCATTCTTTCTCATTATGAAGGTGAGCGAATTGACTCCGGTAAAGTTCCGGTTATGTGTTGATTGGCGTTTGTTTTATCGTAACCTCTAACCTATTTCTTAGGCTAGGATAAAAGAAATCCAGGAGTACTCAGAGACGTGGTAATACATGAAGAATAAATCGGATAGATCTGGAGACGAAATATATATGACGAAAAGTGACGAAACCACCAGCGGCAACGGGATTCAACAAATCCCAGAGACATCTCAACCACCGCGTTACGGTCGCGATCAAGGAAGCGGCCAAGAGGAAATGGAAATTTCTCCTTGGGGGCCGAAACAGAACCATAAAAGAAGCAGGCATAAGGTATCAGGAGCTGAGCTACAACTAGATCATCCACATCTGCGTCAGGAGCCCAAAACCCAAATCTCATCCGCCACCACTTCAGCGAACACAAGTTTTGCACTTTCCTCCTCTTTACCTACTACCACAAGAGCTATTAAAAGAGCCGCGAGTGGCCAGGCCAAAATCGATTCTGGTGTGGAGGTTTCAAATGCAACGGTAGCTTGGATATTCGGAGCAGTGGCGGCTGCTACAAACGGGGTGATCGCATTGGCGACGCGACAGACGGCTAAAGCAAGTAAAAGAGGCGCTATTGCGGGTGAAGTGGCGGCCAATGCGAGCAAGAGAAGCGCTAGAGCAGCAGAAGAAACCTGTTTGCTTGCTCAGAAGCATTTTGAGGCAACTGTCAAAGACAGCCAGGACCGGCCGCCTTCGCCTGATGCGTTTCAGAATATTTCCGGCACAGGGAAAGGAACTTCAAGCATTAAACTAGAAGAACTAGACACGCGACCAACAACGTCAGATCCTCGTGGCACCGGGACAGCGAATTCGCGACTGAACGCTCCACAGGCCATATTGTCACCCGAACTGCCCAAAACCCCTTCCGGACGTGGACGGTGCTAAGAACTATGTCAAACCCGACGCCTGGAAGACGAAACAAACTTTTACATCACTCGATCTGTCGAGTGCACCCGCGGAACCGATAATGGTCTGGCCGGAGGTTCCAACGTGCGAGTTTTGAAAGCCATGTAACTGTAAGATTGTTCTTAAGAATTGAGGAAGATAACAATATACCTTACTATAATATTGATTCAAATATTAGATAACCAGGCTACCCCGTGTTTGTTGCATTTCGTTTTCTTGCCCTTTCCCCGGGGCTATCTTTCTGTCGCATTTCTGGTACTCCATCCGTCCATTTCACCCAAGACTTCCACCAACGCATAGGTATTGAATGCCTCCTCCAGAGCTTGATTCGCGAGCCTGTCCCCAGGCAACGCTTAGCATCAACTCTCTTATCAAAATCCACAAAGATTTCCTCCAGCATTATCCTCATCAAACCTCCTAGCCCAGACTCACAGTTAATACTTTCAACTGTCCGCCTCACTTCTTTCTGCCAGTTTGCATACCATTCGTCTCTTTCAGAGTCGCATTTGGGCTTGGGGTGCCTTTTCGTATCAAGCCCGTACATCTTCTCAAGCATAATAATGCCAGTTGACCACACATCAGACCTGTCATCGATTACATCGGCCCTTTCGTCGAAGACCTCGGGTGCCTTATAATATGCTGTTCCATAGAAGTACTCGGACTGTTCTGTGTATTTACCCGCGAGACCAAAGTCTGTAAGAACAATCTGGAAGTTTTCCGGGTTCCGCTTCCTGACTAAAATATTACCTGGTTTTATATCACGATGTAATATGTCGAACTTCTTGAGCTGCTTAAGTCCCATTAGAATTTGTCTGAAAGCGGTAACAGACTCTCTGTCCGTGAGGGAACAAGCAGCTAAGCTCTTGAGAGGATATATCGGCATAAGTATAACGAGAGACCCAAAGCCATCCGTTACTATACCTAAAACTTCGACAATGAAGCGCTGTGCATATTGTCAGATCAAGCCTCATAAAATAATATAGGCAACGCACGGAATCTCTTTTCATGTAAGTGAATTCCTTCTCCACTCTTTCCAAGGTATTCTGACCATTGGGGTCGTTTTTTGATGGTTTGATAGCTTTTCTAGCATATGTCCGCCCGCTGGTGTATTGGTAATATTCGTAGACTGCCCCAAACCCGCCTTGGCCAAGCATTTTCCCTCTATGATAACGTTGTGGCTTGCGTAATGGAGACCTACTCCCCACATCATATTCCACCGGAGCGAACCAGGACGCACTCTGGACAAGGTTTTGCATATATGGGCCATCGAGAGGTGTCTTGTTATGATTCGGAAATGCGATTCGAAAAGAAAGAGGTCCTATACTTATCGTCACATTCTTCCATGGTGCAATGCAACCTGGTTGAAATGCAAGAATAGAGGTGCCATAGAATGCATTTGACGTGTTTTGGCCATCGAAGCTAACAAAAACCGTAGACACATCACTGCTTCCTTCCTTAATCGAACGTCTGGATAAAACGATATAAGGCTTAGACTGGCGATAGATACTTAGTTCTAGGGTTTCAGGTTCGATGAGGAGATCTTTTCCCAAGTAGACAGTGGATGTTGGATCGTCCCCTATCGTCCAGCGAGGTTTTTTGTAGTTAGGCCGGCTGACTTTATCAGGAAATCCATACTTGCGCCGGGGATGTTGAAAATGGATTCTCAGGTGTTCGTAGTCATCCCAATTCATTCCAAGGTCCCAGGTTTGCCAGTCAGTGAGCGGAGTACTTGGTTCGTGATGAAATGGCGCATTTTCAGGGAGTCGAAAGGCTCTTGCTGCGTTTGGTTCCAGTGGAAAGAGAACAGCAAGAATATCCGAGTACATTGTTATCTGAACAAATTGCCGGGTGCATCTCAAATGTAGGGACAAGAAGGCTAATGTATAGGTAGGTATGATGAGAATTTAGCGAATTCACCAGAGAACCGGCATAAAGAATTCATCAGGAGCTGAAAATGGGGAAGAGATAAGACCTGTTGCGATTGGCCTGGACAAGAATCACAACGCCCTGAACGCATGAAATTACAAACAGTGTACCACCTGGCAGACATGATCAGGGATGTCTATTGGTTGAAAATGGTGGGATGAAAATAAATCGTAGGGCATGATCCAATGGATTAAGCCACATAAGCTGACATGCATCAAAAGTCTTTTCAGTCTCACGAAGTACGTAACAAAAATAAAGAATATTCGTCTACTGTTGACAGATACGTTGGTACTGGTAAGCCCAATGCACGACGTCCTGGCACATATTTTAGATTTTGCAAGTCTGTTTTCTATCACCAGTGTTAAATTCTCAAGATAGCTAATTATGAATATAACTACCGATTCAAAGAAGATCACTTGTCTTTCGGTTTCTTTGGTCGCCTCTTCGATGTATCTTCTTCATCTTGAGTAGTTGTTTCTTCTCCCTGAGTAGTTTCTTCTTCAGGTTGTTGGTTTGTTGCCTGACCCGTGTTTAGGTTTCTCACAGTCGATCTTGACTGCGGTATTATGACCTTGTTCCTCTCTATACTCATTATGGACTATGGCTGTTAGTGCATTATTGGGACATTGGCATTATTACTAACCATCGAGAGGTAGATAGACTTGATTTGCCAAGGGAAGAAGGTTGCTGAGCTAGTTCTTGAGAAGATAAATAGAGGTTTTAATGGAGCATGGAGTTGAGATGAGAAATGAGTCTTTATGTAGGCTCTGAGTTGAAGAATACGCTAGACGAGTTGGAACTCCTGAGCCTCAAACAGCCCCTCTCTCATGCAGGACAATCCAAATCCAGTCACCAGGGAATCAACATATGCAGCACACACCACCACGTGTTGCGAACCCATTGGCCGCAGAATTAGCGGCGTGCCACAGCCTTCAAGGAGGCACACCAGGTCAGATCCTTGGACCACTTTCGCCTCGCCTATTCCGATCTCATAATTGAGCTGTACTTTGCCCAAGTTGGCTGGCTTGACCACGAATATTGAACGATTCACCAATGATGATGCCATAGTTCTATATCTGTAACCGAACCCCTTCTTGAAGATCTCATTAGTTGAACTTGGGGCTTGTTCATTGTCCGAAGGTTCCAGTGGCAGTTCATCCAGAAGTTCTCGGAATGAATCATCGACTTTGTGACCAAGAAGACCAAGAGAGCACGTCCGGCGAAAGGATTCACCCGAAAGTGGATTCGGTAGTGCTAATGCCGACAGCTCCTTGAAAACTAGCGGAAGCTGGTGGTATAAGCTTAGGTATTCGAGGTTGGCAATCTGGGCTTCGTCTCCCATCCGCTCAACGTCCACAGTGATCAACGGGTCTCTCACTCCTACTACTGTACCAAATATAATTCCCGAAGCAAGTAGTATTTCCTTTCCAGAACTTTGCTGAAAACTGACACAAGCCACTGTAGTGCCCATGGCTCGTTGTTGGTCATAAGAGATTGGTCGATCTGCTATGATAGGTGTTTTGTACATCTCCCAATCCGGAACCCATGATGGTAGATCCCACGAACCAGTTCTGTCTGCCACACTGACATAAGAAAGGACCTCGAGAGAAGAACTGGTCTCGATAATCTCTTTGGTTGAGTCTGTGTAGACTCTAGAGGTTGATTTCGTGTAATCGATTTTGAGTCGTTCGGAACGGCTGTCTTTCATGTCGGAGGCCGCTAAGATGGAAAACACTTTGTCCCTCGGATCTGCGCATAGTCTTGACCAGCTATGTCTCAAGAGGCCAAGTAAAGGCGAGGAGTCTTGAGACCTAGGAGTTCGCAAAGCTGACGTTGCCCAGTTGGGACAACTTATTGCCAACTCTGAAAGCGACGTCTCGGGGGAACAGAGAATGCTGCGATACACTGATACAGATAAGAAAGAATTCAAACCTATCAGTGCTCGAAGTCTTCGTGCTTGATACTTCTTCTTCATGACAGTCTTTATCCTGGGGTCCTGAAGAATTTCCATAACTGTTTCAATATCCCCTTCAGAAATGCAAAGCGCACCCGATTGTAATTTCCAAAGTCGGGCCAAGCTGACTTCCTGGATAATCCAGGCTCTTCGCCAATAAGGCGGACGGTACTTTCGCTCGCCAATGACAAGTTGAAGAGAATAGAGACCATCTTCAAACAATTCTTCAAGATCCTCTTTGCTTGAGCTGTCTAATAGGAGTGAAAAGAGTTCGTCTGTCGAGCATGATCTGATCAATTCGATTAATGACCTTGCCTTTTTTATTTGTTCAACGTAGTCGATGGGATCATCCTTTAGCCCAAGCCATGAGATGACACATGAGGCAGAGGAATAGATACAGCCCATCAAACGAACTTGCGAATTTCGCTCGTCTACATCGGATTGATTTATGCAAATGGCGTCGATCCAAAGAGAACGCGGCTTTGACTCGTGTCTCAGATAAGTCAGGGCTTCTTTCAGGTTTTGGGTAACCTGTAGCGTGGTTTCGTTTATTCTTATCGTCGCCTTATCCTCAGAGCTACCCCAAGCGTAGGAAATGGCTTCGTAGTCGATCTTGTCCTCCAGAAGGTTGAGAGTTTCCAGCTTGCAGCTGACCACAGTGCCATGGCTTTTTGGTAGCAGTATGCACACTCTGATTTCAGAATGCCTTTCATCAGAAGTAAGAGGATGGTAAAGGCTCATTGTTCTGATATTGCAATTTGGAGCATGAGGACGGAAGCTGTGATGCGATCGTTTCGTTTTATAGCCTTGGTGAGATTTATATCTTAGAATGCTGCGGTAAGGCAGCTGCATTATGGCCGGATTGGGCAGTGAAATGGAGGCTGAGTATTGGAATTCATGCCCAAGGCAGACGACTAACTGGGTCGACTTTGTGCAACCACTGAGTGAGCGGGATGGGCCAATAAAACGAGGTCATAAGTGAGAATACCTGAGTGCCTTTATAAAATATTAACATATTTAATTGTTTCATTATACTATCTTAAACTACCTGGTGCATGGAAAAGGGATCCTCGGAGTCGCTGGACAAACTATGTCTTTGTTCGTCCTTTCCTTGTATCACCACCCGGTGTGTTCCTGGACCATGTCCTGGCTGCGTTCGGCTTCTCTTTTGGTCGACATCTGTACGCACTACAATTGTTGACTCCAAGGGACGTAACTGATCCTTACTCTCAGACGAATGAAGTGTCCTGGGCAGATCATGCATTTCATGGCTCCGAGAGGTACCCGTTTGGCGAGCAGTGCCAGTAGTCCTCGAGTTCTCATGTCTCGCATATTCGGATTGGTTATGGCTAGAACCGCGGTCATGGCCTGATAACAGAGGCCGGAGAGTTGGAACACAAGCGCAGATGATACCACAGCACAACTCGCTGACTGACCAAGACGCCGATTCGACATTATGCCATGTGATATCCGTGCCAATGTTGAGGAACTTGATACGAACGAGTGAGATAAGGCACGTGCTAGTTCGTGTTAGTTGGACAAGACAAGCTCAGATATATAGAAGAAACTCACAATATGCCGAGGCAAAAAACGGACATAAGAATCCACTTTTGTCGCCGACCGAGCTTCAGACTGCGAAGAACGGGAATCGGGAGGACCATGATCAAGATATCGGTCAAAATATTGCCCGCTGCGCCGACATAGAATGAAGATTTGTTGAGGATACAGGTGCCTTTGACCGTGACGTCCCAGAAAGATGCGATAGGAACACACATAAAAGTGTTGAGAAAGATTTGAGAAAGACTCCAGCAGGTGACGAGGACTACGGATGCGATGTATGTCTTCTTATATTGGCGTACAGGTATAGCTCGGTAGTACTGGAGGAGAAAGATTGTTTTGATGACTGCTAGGGCGAGGTTGTAGACGACGGTTGAGAAGTAAAACATCTGGTTGCTTTAGCTAGGTTGCTAACTGGGTACAAGTCAAACCTACTCTCAAGAAATTACTTATCTGTTCGCCAGAAAGTGTAGATATATGAGAGCCAAGGCCATTTCTAACGTCTATAGCATATTAGTAAACTGTCAAGGAAAGGTTTCTTCAACAGGGCTCTTTTACTTGTTGCAATGATAGTAGCGTCAGCAATCGTCAACAACTGCTTGTCATTAGTAATATGATTTCTCAGTGTTAATTGAGACACCCACGCAAGCAAGGATCGCACATGCGTCATCGACGCCAAAGTTTCTCAGCATGATGGCCCGGGCGTAAACTCGCAGGGATACCACGATAAGAGAGATCGACGACAGGGTCGCCATAACAGCTATAGCGACCGCACCTCTAGACTCGGACGCATAATCTGAAGAAGCCATGGCCAAAGACGTCTTGTACGAAGGAGCGATTACAAGCACAAAATGGAGCACTCACCAAACTGTAGAACAGCGGCTTGGCAGAGATTTAAGTCTGTAGAAGACACAACCGACGCGAGAAAGTGGCTAAAGGACTAAAGAGTCGAGAAGCGAGCCCAGATCAGATCATGAAATTGTGGGCTGCTTACTTGACGCCATTTCGTCCCAAGTTATGAACGATCGGAACGTGCTGCCGTCAGCTAGAGCAATCGGTAGCCGGAAACAGCCATGTGGCTTTGGGAGGGGAGTGATAAGGTTCGTTAGCCAGGGAGCAAGTGGCTGTTAGGTTTACAATCGGCGAATCAAGATAGAGAGCGGGTTCGTCTCACAATTTCAATTATGGGCCTGTTCCGAGTTACTGGATTTCGAGCCACTGAGTCAGTCATGGACGATTAATGCGCACAGACGCTAGTACGGGGAAGAAATCCGCGGGTTAGAGGCCTAAGGACTTAGGGTGAAACTCCAGACTTGGCTGGTTCTTAACCCAAAGGAGCTGTTGTAAGCTACAGCAGTTGGGCGCTGTGAATAAAAGAACAGGGAGGGAGACAAGGTTCAGTAGTTCAGGAGAAAGGCCATGTGCTGAGCTACTTTATAATGCAAGGGACATCCTTTGGTATCGCTGCTTGTTTCAATAGTTCTGGGGACCGGTTGTGGTATCTCTGCTTGGTATGCTGATATCAGTAGTGATTGCGGAACGGTTCTTGACATGATGAAATAACTTGGGAACAGTTTAAGGTGACCAGAACTAGCCTTGAAAGCCGGTGAAAATATCGCACTGGGCACTAGCAGATCAAAGATCAATACATGCGATAGAATGCTGATGTTTAATGTTTATTTACTGTTTCTTCGGAGCTAGGAAGTCTCGACAGGGATTTGGGGAAAGCTCTAAGAGTTCGGAACCAATATGCCGACAAGCCGATACTGAACAGCATCATTTCCCTTTCCAGGCACTCTCCATGACCTCCAAAGGCGTTGTCACCTTCAAGTCCGGAAACCTGTCGTCCAACGGCGGGAGATCTCGAGGCACGAGATACCGGCCAATGCCAGCTTGATAATGAATCATAGCGAAGAATGCCTCGTCACCTTCACCGTGGCCAATCGAAGGATAATCAGGGAAGAATGAAATCTTACCAGACTTCAACTTCTCCAGGCTATCAACCGCAACATCAAATTTGGTGCCTAGTCATTATTAGAAACTGGTGGCTAATGATGATGGACATGCTCTTACCTCTGGCCTTCTCCGCAGCCGCTACCAATTCATTGAATGTCAAGGTGTTGGCCCGAATGGCGCTGATGGTATCCCACTTCTCAAGATCCATCAAGCGCGCAACGAATCGAGACATGTCCTGAGATGTGAGGAAGCTGGCCTGGATATTTCCATCAGCTGGAATGACGGCCCATTTGCTTTCCATGTTGATGATGTTAATCCATGGCTCGAGATTGCACTTCCAGTGCGGGATGCCGTAGTAGTCAAGGAACCATCCATTAGCGATGCGTGTATAGGTGAGACTGGTCTTTTCCAGCTCATCGATCGCCTCAAAGGTATATCTGGTCAGTGGTGAGAGGTCGATATCCCTATACCGTTGGTTAGTCACGATCGAGAAGTCCCAGGGTCACTTACTCTTTAACATGTAGCATATCGAAACTACTAATGACGAAGCGCTCGGTGGTTGAAGACCGTTCAGCGGCCTGGATTAGATTCTTCTGTGCCTGGTTTGCCTCTGGTGACACGACACTAATAGCGCATATGAGAATGTTGACTCCTGCAACCTCTAGGGCTTTCGTGATGGCATCTGGATCATTATAATCTACTTTGAGGTAATTTACAGCGCCTTGAGGCGGTCGTTCCTATTGCTGGTCAATATCAAGCGACCGAGTAGACCGACCTCAAGGGACCTTCTTACCTTTCTGGACAGAGCATACACTTTGTGCTTCCCGTACTCTACGAGACCATCAACGATGGTGCTACCCACGCTTCCAGTTCCCCCAGCGACTGCAACAACTTTCATGATAATAGGTCAGTCGGTTCAGTAGAGACTTGGGCAAATGTATAATTTAACGCAAAGATATTATAAATAAGGGGGGGTTCTGAATGAAGGTTCTCTTGCTCTCGGAAACCAGCTGACTTTTTGCATGATAAACCTGTTTTTTATAGAGGGGTAAAGTAAGCAGCAGGCTTTGACGATTGACAAATTCGGAAGTTTTGCCAATCGTAAGGGCAGCATTGCGGGGTGTATTACCCATTACGGTAGTAACCTCAACCTCGCCACCTCAGGTCCAACGACTGCTGACCGCCGCCAAACGCAGCATCCCCATATTAACATAACATCTTCACTTAGGGAGGAAAGAAAACTCGAGACCTAGATCCTAAATGACAGAGAGACTCGGGCAACTTAGCATACCGTTGAAGGTAAACTTAGGATGCCTTTTGGTAAGTATCTTGGCACCTTATGTCAAAGTCTGATGATGTTTGCTTGCTCCTCGAGGCCTCATTACAAATGTCAGCGCACTGAAATAATTCACGGGCGAGAAACAAAGGAATAGCGGATGGCAGTGGTCACCCCGCAAGCCATAAATGCTCGGCATGGGTAGTGAGAGAAACAAGGAAGATATTTGATGGAAAGAAGTTAATTTATGGCTTTTCGACTATCATAAAAACCTGATGATGATAACTCCGTGCGCCGGTACGTCAGTAGCTGTTCATCACAACTGACTTCGCTCATAAACAACAGGTTCATCAACCTCAACAACCTCCTTCATGTTCTCCCATAGTTTCACTGATTCAAAAACAGTCTCGCTCGCTCCCTGTCCCTCGACAAACCAGCTCAAACCCGTGCAATCTCTCGTATCCGCATAAATCATAGTTGATAAAGCAAATCGATCATTGGCAAAGACCTCGAGAACATCGCCATCGCAGAAGATTCTCAGGTGCAGCTTCTCCAACTCCTCTGAGCCGTTTCTGTCAGAGTAGAATAGAGTAAAAGGTCCTGAAACAGCATTCTTTTCGATATCGCCTTCGTGGTTGGATTTGCTTCGATCGACGGTGATCTTCTCGCTTTGGGGGGAGAAGTGAATGGCTGTTTCTTCAGACAAGTCTTCATTGTGTCGAATCCAGAATCCAAGGCCTTGGTCGTTTGGTGAGACCTTGATTGTGGCTTCTAACTCCCAGCTTCCAGTATGTGTATCTACTAGCTTTCCAAGATTGGCGCTGGTGTCAATGTTATTCCAGTAGCCGGGCTTGCCTCGTCTAAGTCCTTGCAGATCTGGCAGTGGGCGAATTCCCAAAGTCTGAACTGTGTTTGACCCGCGCCCATTCTCAGTAGCCTTGATGCACCCAACATCGGCCAATGATGAAGTTAGAGTCCTCGTTACGTTTTCGACTGTGTATAAGAATAGCTCGCGAGGGATAGAGAAGTATCCGGTCCAACCCTTTGATTCGCGTCGGGCCAAGGTAAGTTCGTCCTCCTTCAACCATCCCCAGACGATCCTGTTCTTGGTGATAGGGTGCTCGTAAGAGTTGGGTGCGTATAAACATCCGTGGTCGAGGATTCCACTGTACTCGGGCTTTATCCTGGGTCCTTGTTCGGTCTGCTCAAGAGACCCAGCCATCCAAAGCGACCACTGATCACTGCCCTCCTTAGCACCAGGCTTAACTCCTCCTTCGGTTCCCATGAGTAAGAAAGGCCGTTCCTCGGACTCATTGTGAAGAGTCATGAAGTTGACGCACTCCCAATTAACACCGAAGTCGCCGCCCCATTGACCGGAGGGGCTGTATCCTGTGGGCAAGTCGATCAAAGGCCCAAGGTATGTCCACTGTGTCAAGTCGGTCGGTGAAATCGCGTACAGAAACACTGTAGGTCCGCCATCGACAACGCCTCCAGAAACAAAGCCATACAGGCTTGCCTCACCTCTCAATTCATCCAAAGCAGGCCATTCCGCAAGAAATGGGTCCCTGAAACCTGTGACGGTGAGATCTTCGGGTTCGCCCTCCAAGATCGGGTTCTGTTGACTCTTCTGCCACGTTTTACCGCCGTCTGTCGATGTTGCTACTGACAATCCAGCACAGTTTCGAGTATACGGCAAAGTCCAGTGGATGGGAAGATTTGTGATGGATGAGTAGATAACAGTCAGTTGGCCTTCTTCTCCTTGAAGACCTGTAGGATGAAGACAGCCAGTGAAGATGCCCTTGTCATCGTAAGGCTCAGAGGGTTCTAGGACTGGATTTTGTGTGTTTTGCTTCCAAGTAAGACCGTCTCTGCTTGTGTAATGACCCCAAGTGATGTCACCCCAATCGCAAGATTTGGGGTTCCCTGGTGGCAAAGTCAGCATAAGAGTTGGCCGAGAGATTGAATGGGTGTACTGACACTGATAAGATAGGTGGTAGGTGCCTGTTGAGGGGTCATATCCGGGTGCGCACGGATCATTGATCCAACCCCGAGGTGCTTTGAGGTGGTATGTCGGCGAAGGATGCCATCGAGGGCGGGGTGTAGTGTTCTTGACCGTCATTGTAGTTCTTTTCGGAGTGCCCAAGTACGTTTTCGCCTCCGCCGTCACTTTATACTTCTCAAACGCAGTCATTAAACGTCGAAGGAATGTCGAAAGATATAAAATGGAAGAAAAATGAAGCAACGATAAACGGTCGAGCCCGGGTTTTGCCTAATAAGTAGGTAATTCAGCCGACCTCTCTAGACCCCAGATTACGCCCCAGCCGCTTCGGTTTGCCGATGTCGTCGGACCGACAAGACTGCAACTGCAGCTAATCAGCCGACGAGAAGGGATTTTTGGGTGGAGATCGTGGTAGATCGTCAATGAGCCAAGAGAAAAGGCGTGTCTATCTAGAGTTGACGCTAGGATATCCGTTGCAATGAATGCAATCATGACGGTCCGAGATCTGATCCGAGGTTTGAGCGCTCCCCGCGCCTCATGATTAACTTCCATTGCTATCTACTACTCATTTGGGAAGT